GGTCGTTCCCGATGTTGGTCACTGCAGCATAACCCCCCTTGTTCGAACCGTGAACTTTGCCAGAGGCGATATCTCTTACAAGGGAGGGCTTGTCGTCAATTCGCATGTCGAAGCCGAGAATAGTCTCCCATTCTGGGGCCATGTACACGTAGTGCGACTGCTGACCCAGGTACTCCTGACACACCATGAATTCACAGATGACTGGAGTCTTGCGGAGATGGGCGAACAAAGTGGAGGGGGGCTCGCGAATCTGGAAGTCTATTGGACCAAATTTGATCTGGATAATGACGTTGTCTTCGAACTCGCCATCAAGGTGGGCGAAATACTCAACCGCAGCATTGGCTCGGTCGTTTCTGAGATCAGATTCATCCAGATGATGGTTGTAGACAAAAGCACGGTACATGACGATGCCATCGCCGTGAGGTTTCAGGGCACGAGCGAACATGTTGGCTCCTTGAGCAAGAGTTCGGCCATATGTCAGAGGACCCGGCTGACCTTCTGAGTTGGCCTTGATGGTATATCCAAGCATATCCGGTACACGCTTATACAGCTTGGCCGTTATATCCTCCCACAACTTGATGACATCAGGATCGAGAGGATCTGATGTTGGCAGACCAGCGAGGCCTCGGGGAGTGTCGAAGAATAATGAAACACCAATGCGTACTCCATAGGGACGCATTACATCGGCGATTCGACCGAGCCCATCGAGATTTGTCTCGTTGAGAAGATTGTGGCTCGAGTTGACGTTGTTCACAATGCAGCCATTGATGCGGATTGAGGCCAATAAGCGAGAATATTGGCGGACGCGAGACAGGTCCTTCAAGACCTTGCCATCGCAGAAAAAGATGGACTTGCCCCCGTAACCTCTTTCTATGCTGCCGTCGAGGTTGTCCCATTCGTTGACATATCTGATAGCCGCTCCGGGATTGTATGCCTGTTGGATATTGGTCTTTGCCAGCTTTCCCTGTGCAAGGAGAGAGAGGTATTCGAATGCTCCATAAAGGGCTGCTCGTTCATTTTGGCCGACAATGTGAATGTCATTGCTTCCATTAACATTTGTGTCGAGCCAAAATCCGTCTTCATCAAGGGCAGGTGCCGACTGAAGGTGAGGATCTCCTCCATTCGCTTTCAGGGCTGACAAAGTGCCCACTATGATTGAACCTCTAGCGTCACCTTGAAAGTGAGAGTCAACCTGTACGCTTTGTCCGAGAATACGGTCAAGCCCACGTTGAAGTTCCTCTCCGGCGATAAAGACTGGGCTTGTCGGGTTGGTGCTCAGAGCAACGATGCTAGAAACTGGCTTATGAAGGCTACGCAAGCTCTCGGATAGAGGGGCATGTCGTAGCCAAGCGTCGATTCCGCTCTCCGAGGGAAGCATTTTAAGGGCTTTTGGAATGGTTGTTACTAGACGCTGCCCTCTTTGTTGCATGCGTGATCTGTGAAGGAAGCTGCGGAATTCCAGTTCTTAAGAGTATAAGCAGCTACCCATTAATTGCGAGGAACGATTTAGGCGGATAATCTTTAGCTACTGAACTGTCACGCTAGAAGCACATGTGAACGCAAACTATGATACATGGAGAATATCATATGTCAAGCTGAGAAATCAGGGTCCAATAGCAACATACGCACCTCATTAGCTGAGCCGACAGATTGAGCGGGTCGAACTCGGCATCTAGGAGCCGATTCTCATGCTAAAGCGGGTAAAAGCCCAGAATATATGTGGCAGTTTAATCCCCCACGTAGTCTTATTCGGCATTTCGTAGCCGATTCCTATACTAGGCCCGGCTAAATACGCCGTAGGCTTGCATTACCCCAACCCCCGCACTCGGTCTAAAAGTTACTACAATAGGCTGAAGGTCAAGAGACTGCAAATCTTGAGCCAAGATTACCTTGCAGGTCGGCATTCTCTCCATGACATAGATCGCATGGCCGACAAACAACCACCATTAAGTACCCAATTCCAAAAGGAAAGGCTTCGCGTTTAGGGTTCAGATGACAATGCATATTGAGCCTGAAGTAGATCACATGCTTAACACAATCTACAAGTTGGCCATAGGGAAACAGTTGTATCTCCCAGCTGAAAATACAATCTTAAGTTTTATTACTCTACATTTTGGAGCTCTAAGGATTAGCCAAAGGTGTAATTATTGGATGGGAAGCATAATATATAGAAGAGCCATTTTTGAAGTGAGGAATTGATATAAAAGTAAAAGAATGGATTTCTAGATTTGCTGCTCAACTACCTTCCTATCTAAAGCTAGACAGACTGTAGTAGCTAGTAAGCTCAACCCTTCTCGGCGACGTGAATTCATTCTTTATGCTCAACACCCAGCTTCTCATCAATATCGATATTAGTATCGAATTCGTAGCCCTTGAACTCCCGAGCACCTAGATCTTTAGTGAATAAAATATCGAGCTCCTCATATGTGCGGCCCTTTAGCTCAGGAAGACGAAACCAAGCCCAAATGGCGCAGAGGATACAGAAGCCCGCAGCCAGAAAAGCAGACTTGCCCTTCCAGTTTGCAGCAGTGGGGTTCAGTATATGAGGAACAACGCATGTGGCAGCAATATTGATGACGTTGTAGGCATTACGAGCCAGACCAATTGTTTTGGAGCGCAGCCGCGTAGAGGAGACCTCGGCGACAATGATGTAGGCGATTGGACCAATGGTCATCTCGTAGGTAGAGTACCAGACGTAGTAGAAGGCTGCAGACACACCTCCCGTGGCACTGCTTTGGCTTGGGATAGCTACGAAGCCAATCACAAACATCGCGGCGGACATAAGGAGGCAGCCCCAAATGTAAATCGATCGCCTTCCATGTCGCGCGACGATGAAAACGGACAAAAGGACAGTGACAAAGTGAAGACCGCCTTGGCCAACAGTCAATTTGTAAGCGTTCTTGGTTGACATGCCGGCTTGTTCGAAAAAGTAAGTGGCATAAGAGGAGACACCAAAGCCAACGAGGACTTGACTCGCCCAGGCAACACACGCGATTTCCGTGCGCCAGAGGTTGGAGCCCCTGACGCAGTCGAGATACGAAGCTCCCTCTGTGATGCTGCGCTCCAGCTCCGTCGTTTCCACCATGAGAGACAGCTGGTTCTGAAGCTCTTGGTCTGACATTGACGTAAGCCTCTTCAGGGATTTCTTGGCTTCTTCCAATTTTCCACTGCGGACCAGCCACCAAGGAGACTCGGGGCAGAAGAACATTAGAGGTGCGATGATGACAGGCCATACCCACTGCACGGCAAAGGGGATCCTCCAGGCCCAGATACTCTTGTTACCAACAAGTGAGTCCAGAACAGCGTAAGACAGGAGCTGACCAATGCCCCAGCATAGGACAACGTAGGTTTCAAGGTACGCACGAAGGACAACCGGCGCGACTTCAGAGGCATACGCAGGTCCCATTGTGGTGAAGACACCCCATCCTAGTCCACAAAGCAGTTGACCAACAAACAGAACCTCGACTGAAGGGGCAAAGAAGGAGATGAAAATAGTTCCAGTCAACCAGAACAAGGAGATCAGAAGTGTCTTTTTGTGTCCGATCCTCTCCGTCATCCACGTGTTGAAGAAGATACCAACAATGCCTCCCAGGGAACTAGCCAAGCCAAGAGCTGTCTGCCACTTAGGCTCGAGCTGGTATGTACCTGGCTTGGCAGGATTGGGGATGCCGAAGCGCTTTTGGAAGTCGGGAAAGGCGAAGAGTGACCCGAGGAGGGCTGTGTCGTAACCATCCATGATGATGACTAGCGACACAACGCAGGACCAGAAACAGGCCTTGGGGTATTTCTGGATGGCCTGACGGATACTGAGGGAATGTTCTGCCTCTGTGGCGGCGCGAGCCTCCGCAGACGTGTCGCCTGTCCAGCCATGATGGCCATCTGGTGGCGCCGTCTCAATGGTATCGGCGCGCTTTTCTGCCATACTGGTTTTATCGGTTGAGAATTTTTTATGAGCGGATTTGTAGTAGGTGTAGGACGGTGATGTCAAGAAATGCAATTCCAGAAGCTGTCAAGTTAATCGACAAGCAATGGCTGTTGGCAACGATCCAGATAAATGAGGTAGGATCTTCGTCTTCTTCATATACAATGATGCTCAGGGAGTCAGCTGGCTCCACTCCAACGTCGTAGCAGAACCAGCTCCAGGGTTATTCCAGATATGGCCCATGGGGAAGTCGACTACCCTGGTCGGCAAAGACGGCACTGTAGACTGACTCTGAGCATACAGGGATTAAAACGGCCAGGTTTTTGAATGGCAACTTCGATTTAATTTAGCGTATTTATTACATCACAGGTAAGAGATGGCACGGCAGAAACAACAAGGGGGCACTGACATGATGAACGCTTATTTGGTAGGAGAGTTGGGAGCTATCGGCCCAAGAGTAAACGGAATCAAGCCAAGTTCGGGGAGAGTGGGGAGAATTTGCGGGGGTGGAGCCCATCTAGGACCGGCAAACTCGGCACTCGAGAAGCGCACACTGAAGACTAAATGTTCCCCCACACGTGCAATTGATGAAGATTGACTTTGTTCTGGTCCGGGGAAGTATAGCTATTGTGCGGGGTATCAGATAGACGAAAGCCGAGCTTGGATTTACCCAGAACTCTGGTTAAACTCATCAAGAGTACAGCCAAACTACGCCTACAGTTCTTGATCACCTAACTGACGGGTCAGGCAAGGGTTCGGCGGCTAATGACAAGGTCATCAAACATCCCATTGAAGATTGTCTAACTCATGGTGTAGGTCATAGGGTGATGACGCTGCATAAGACGGTCCGGGCAGCATGCCGATGTCAGACGCCGTGGGTTATCTTAATGTCCAGGGGTCGATCGGATAATGTATTTACGCGGAGGTCGAGAAGGCCAAGCAGTCCGGCTACCTATAAATTCTGCAGTGGAATCACTATTCCTGCTGATCGACAGGATGACAGCTTCTCTCTGAAGAGAAACAGAGCTGATTCTTCCATACCTTCCCTCCCTATCATTTCATCTCCTCTTGAACAGCCATGGGTCCGCTAGCTCGTGGTCTTGCCGCCTTGAACTTCCTGGGCTACTTTGGTTCAGCCTCCGTGGTGGCTTTTCCCACGGATTCAAAATCAGACTCTGAAGTCTTGATTTCTGTGAATGGCCACGTCAAACACCAAGAGCTTGACGGCTTTGGCGCCTCGCAAGCATTTCAGAGGGCGGAGGACATTCTTGGAAAAGACGGTCTGTCCAAAGAAGGGACTCAACATGTACTGGACCTGCTATTTAGTAAGGAAACTGGTGCAGGCTTTTCCATCCTGCGTAATGGGATTGGTTCAAGCAACAGTTCTGACAAGAACTTCATGAACTCAATCGAGCCTTTCTCGCCAGGCTCACCCGGATCAAAGCCACACTACGTCTGGGACGAATATGACAGCGGTCAGCTGATCGTCGCTAAAGAAGCATTCAAGCGAGGATTGAAGTTCCTTTATGGCGATGCTTGGTCCGCCCCGGGCTATATGAAAACGAATCACGATGAAAATAATGGAGGGTATTTGTGCGGTGTTACAGGCGCTACCTGCGCTTCCGGTGACTGGAAGCAGGCTTACGCAGACTACATGCTTCAATGGGTTGAGTTTTACCACAAATCAGGCGTTAAGGTCACCAACCTGGGGTTCCTTAACGAGCCTCAGTTCGCCGCTCCCTACGCCGGCATGCTTTCCAACGGCACACAGGCTGCCGACTTCATACGTGTGCTGGGCAAGACGATCCAAAAGCGAGGTATTCGTCATCTTACTATCGCCTGTTGTGATGGTGAGGGCTGGGACCTGCAAGAGGACATGATGGCTGGTTTGACTGCTGGACCTGATCCAGCGATCAACTACCTTAGTGTCGTTACTGGCCATGGATACGTTTCACCACCAAACCATCCACTTTCAACAACAAAGAAGACGTGGCTCACCGAGTGGGCTGATCTTACAGGCCAATTCACGCCGTAGACATTCTACAACAATAGCGGCCAGGGCGAAGGTATGACTTGGGCTGGCCGTATCCAGACAGCTCTTGTAGATGCCAACGTCAGCGGATTTCTCTATTGGATCGGAGCCGAGAACTCGACCACCAACAGCGCTCTCATCAACATGATCGGTGACAAGGTCATTCCATCCAAGAGGTTCTGGGCCTTTGCATCCTTTAGTCGGTTTGCTCGCCCCGGTGCTCGACGTATCGAAGCCACGAGCTCTGTTCCTCTGATCACAGTCAGTGCCTTTCTGAATACCGATGGTACTGTCGCGACACAGGTGCTTAACAATGACACGATTGCTCGCGATGTCCAACTTGTTGTCTCTGGCACGGGCCGAAGTTCTTTTAGCTTGAAGCCCTTTCTGACGGATAATTCCAATGATTTAACTGCTTTAGAGCACTTAAAGGCCAGTGGAAAAGGTTCTTTTCAGACTACGATTCCTCCTCGATCTCTTATCAGCTTTGTCACAGATTCATAACTAGGATGAATATTACTTAGAGAAGGTTTGTCTAAAGACTGGTTGAAATAATTTGGCTACAGCTAGCACGTTAGTGTATGTCTTCTAATGATCTAAGTTAGTTGGGCTGCTTGTTTCGGCTTAGTTGCACAACGTCATGGTAGGTGTGCCGAAAGCCGAGCCACGTAAATAGCTCACAATAAGACCACTCGACCTCGACACCCATTGAATGGTTATCATTTCTTTCATTTCTTGCATCATATGCTGTGTTACGTGCCCATGCTGTTTTACTATATATTCAGATCATAATGGCCTACCATATTCTCCTTAGTCTTGCGACCTTTTGGCTCGTCTTAGCGACTTCTTCTAGTACCACAGAAACCACCAGAGCAACTACCTCCACTGACTCTTCCATCCTTGCTTCCGATGTCTCTTCAGTGCCAGACTGCGGTATTGAGTGTATCTTTACAGCGGGAAAGAAGATTGGCTGCGCTGGTACCAACCTAGAGTGTATGTGCTCGCACAGCGACGCGTTTGCAGACCATTTCGAAGAATGTCTCAAAAACGAGTGCACTAGTAAAATATTCAAAAGCGAGTCAATAACTGACGTACAAGGCATCATCTGACCGTATACGTACCAGACCTCTGGGACGTGCGCCAGCAGATTTGCGATGCAGTAAAAGGGAGTTCAAATCCTGCTGCCTTGGCATCGGCCTCAGCCGTGATTGCGTCCGATCTGTCTCAAGAGAAGGGGAGTGGCGCCGAGCGTTTGGCTTATGTGGGTATACTCGGTGCTTTTGCGTGGGGAGCTCTGGTTATATAGAGAATGGGTATCGGAAGGAACGCAGGGGATTAGGCAAGTCAAAAGCAATATATCAGCACCAGTGACCACGAGGCTCCTGAATTTACAATACGCGTAAAGCTCAATAGCTCTAGCGGGGACATTTGCCGGCCCCTATCCACAATCTCTATTCTTTCTATCACAGTGCATCCTGGTGCAGGGGTGCTATGTCAAAATCACCCTCACACCAAGACTCTTCATGGCTTCTCTCCAACCAAAGACTTGATCAGGGTGCATTCTTCGAAGTCTCCAACACTCCTCCATGACAATAAGGCCTTTCCATGTTATGCCAGGGGCCTGCGCTCCTTGCAGCACCTGATTGAGAATTTGACGAAACCGGTGATGTTGTGAGTCGCTCATGGCCATACAACCGGCGATAGTATATGGCCAAGCTGCCCGCATCACAAGACGTGTAGGGAGAGCTTCCATCTTCTCGAGGCACCTGTTGACAAAGGTCTGGTCGATACTACTTTGCTCGGCCATAATTGGACCAATTACAACTTGCAACAAGACTCTGGCACCATAAGCCCATATGAGACTAATCTTTGCAGCGTCGAGATGTAGACCTGAAGTTATTATACCAGCCAAGCTCTCAATGTCTTCTTGAAGAGTCTGGCAGACATAATCGAGTTGTTGTTCTAGTTCGCCGTATTGACGTTGTAATTCCGGTCCTGTAAAGTCATGATGTATTTCACCTTGATGCATCAGCTGGAGTTGCTCAAGCCTTGCAATTCTGGTGACAATAGCAAAGACTTGGCTTTGACAACCCATAAAGTCCTGTGACCTGATTATACCAGCATCTAGAAGAGGCAGATAGTCGAAGGCGCAAGGGCAGTATGACATCGCACCAAAAGTAGACGTGGCCAGAACATCGATCCAAATAAAGTTAAAGATAGAAAGTTGCAGAGATAGTCGTCGTCCATCACCTTTAGGCAAGCTCGAGAGTACGTCTGCTATCACTGATGCTGAATTACGGTTCTCAAGTGGAACAGAAGTCTCAATATGATTCAGTACCTTTCTTGCAGCCTGATGATGGATCTCCCATTGGCCCTGAAGCATACTGAAGATCTCGAGCGTCTCTAAATGAGCGATGACATCAACAAGGTGGATCCCAGCCCAGACGAAGTCTTCCACTGGCAACGGTGGCATGAGGGAAAAGCGCTCGACCTCTTTCCGAAGCATCGAAAGAGACCGGCTCTGTAGCCTGCTCACCTTTGGCGACAGTCCAATCTCATCAACACTAGCCCTTTGGGTCAACGAGTGCTCGAAGCAGGCGCTGACACTGAGAGCTGAGCTACATAAGTCATCTCGGCTGATGAGCCGATTGAGCATCCAGTTGCGTTCACTGTTGCTTTCCAACTTGCAGAATGTATGCGTGATTGGATGTATGACATCGAGGAACAACATGAGCAATCTTGTTTCTTCTCGTGAAGAATTTTCAGGTCCGGGCTGTAAACTTTGCATCCTGCTGTCCCACCATATGGTATCGGGTTGTCGCTGCCAAATGTTGACCCCATTTGTCAACTGGATAATGGACGGTGTTGAGAAGATATCGCAATGGAACACGCCCGGTATAATCTCATGGGCTCTCTGGAAGTGATGAGACCCGTGCTGATGGTTGTTGCTCCCTGAGTCCAGTGGCAAGAGTCCAATCGCGCCAGAAGCAGTGACTCTGGAATCTAGCTTTCTCGAGACCCTGTACCGCAGCCCCGCGACAGTTCGTAGAGCTCTCGCTTCATTGGACTCTAGGACATCTTTCCATGAGGCCTTGTTGGTGATCCAAGGCGGTGGAGGCATGTTGAACCCGTAACATGCCAGGTCTCTTGACCTGCAGGCACTGCATGCGGGTAGCTCCTCATCGCACTTCTTCTTGCGAATTCTGCAGGTGAGACATCCCTTGCGACTGCGCGTTCCGTCTGAGACCGTTGGTTGCTGCTCCGTCTGCGCCATGATGTCCCGTTGCTCATAAGAGGCCGTAATGAAGGAAAGTTTGGACGCCTGCTATTCACAGTTGGGTACGCGTATCTGTGCATGTAAGACGTCATGTTGGCCTTCGTTCTGTTGGGAGCTGGGATTCTATGAAGCTAAGCTGTTGCATAGTGCCATGCAGTACTCCGTAAGCATGCCGCAGATGGCGCACATGATTCTGGTGACGAGAACCAATGGGATTTGTGCACTCCACTCCTGGGCCGTGATAAGAAATACAGTTGTCGACGATCAATCATGCCATTGGCTGTTCTAGACGTGGGCGTCATCTGCTGGCTTAGCTCAATCGACTGCGCTTAAGCTAAACCCTTTGGGGATCTCATTCTAACAGCGCATGAAGAGATGTTAATGATTCTCTTGTCAATCAGATGAACCCAGTATATCAGTAGCAATATAAATATCCAGTCATTCCACTGGGCAATTAATTCATAGCTGCTCATTCTTGTTTCCTCCTCAGAGTGCGGCCTGTCACGAATCCTTCAAAGTTAGACACACCAATCATGTCGTGTCCTCAGTGCTTTTCCGGTCATGTCAATCCAGGCGCTCCCACTGGTCGTTGGGAAACCGTCCATGGCCTTCGAACCTACATTGCAGAACCCCCGGCCGGCAAGAGCACGAAAGCTATCATTGTCATAATCCCTGACGCTTTCGGCGTCGACTTTGTTAACAATCAAATTCTGGCGGATCATTATGCTTCAGCTGCTGACTATCTGGTTTACTTACCCGATTTCATGAATGGTAAGGGTGGCGTTTGCACGACCAGCTCAACAAGCAAAACTAATTAGCTTCATCGCAGGCAGTGCTGCGCCAGTCAGGACCATGATTAACATGGCACACCTTTGGGATGAGACCGGATCTTGGTTGTCTAAACCGTAAGCTTCATCTTCTCCTACCCTGAGGCCGAGAGTTTGCATCACTTGACTGACCGACGACTAGGTACTATCTCTTCGCTACTATGCTGGACTTTGTCCCATTTCTGATTCGAAACCGCTTTAGTGTTTGTTGGCCTAGGGTGACCGGCTTCTTGGGTCAGCTCCAACAGCACAAAGATGCAGATCTTCCAATTGGAATTGCAGGCTTCTGCTGGGGAGGGCTCCACACTGTAAGACTCACCCATGACACAGCAGAAACTAAAACGGCTAGTGGTCGCGCATTGGCAGATGCGTTTTTCACTGCCCATCCAAGTAGCGTTGATGTCGCACAGGATATAGGCAATGTCGCGCGCCCGCTCTCTATTGCAATTGGTGACGATGATGGTGTGATGGGAATTAAGCAAGTGCGGGAAGCCGAATCAATCTTGGAGAGCATCGATGTTGATACAAGCGTGGTTGTTTACCCTGGAGCGAAGCATGGGTTCGCGGTTCGCGCAAGCAGGGCAGAGCCGGATTCAAAGGAGACGCGACAGGCAGAGGAGGCTGAAGAACAGGCTATTGCTTGGTTCAAGAAGCAATTTGATATTATCGTATAGGCCTGAGCCAATAGACCAGATCAGATCCATTCGCTGCACTTAAAACACAAGACCTATAGTTGTAGGTGTTATTCCATCTTCAAATTTCATCATAGAGTGGGTGTTCATCAACCAGGTTTTTGCTCGTAGTAAACTTAGACCTAACGATAAGCTATGTATTATGCCAAAATTGCTCCTCGATTATAATGCGTTTTGTTATTTCTAAGTAGAACAGCCAGGACATTCGAAGCAAGACGGATCGTCCCAGACAAGATCGTATGTATGCCTATCCAGAAAATCACCTGGCGCGAGAGTAGTTCTTGTAAACATGCACTGACCATTTCTGTAACCCGAACCTAAACACCCGTTCATCTTCCGGCAGATCGCAGCACATTTTCCGGATGAACTCTGGTCAGGATAACTGCTGCCATCAATCCCGAATGTTCCAGGCAACATTCCCGAGTAATTGCACAAGACACCATCCGCGCTGACACGCGTGCAAGAGTCACCAGGCTTGTAGTTGCAAGTTGGACTCTTAGGAAGAGGTGCGTTGCTGAGGACGCAGGTTGGACACGTATAGCAGGATCTATGGCTCCAAACACTGTTCTTGGGGTCCAGACCGGGATCGTCGTAGTTCGAGTCAGGATCAGCAAAGTCGGCCGTTGTGATCTTGGTTGTTGTAAAGAGACAGTGGTTCTCCATGCCGAAGTAGCCAGAGGATTCACAGTTCTCCAGAGTGTCGCAGATGGCTGCGCACTGCTCTCCGTTCTCCTGCATGGGATACATTGAGCGAGGAACTGTCCAGGTCTCACCCAAAAAGACGCCTCCACCAATGCACACATAGTCATTGTTCTCAACACTTGATGTGTTAATCTCACATTCTTGACCACGGTTGTTGTGGCAGACACCTGTTGGTTGAGTAGCTTTAGTGGTTGAGGTGAAACCAGTTGATTCGGGAACCAGGGTAGTTGTTGGAACCGCCGTTGTCGATGTCTCGCCGGAAGTGCAGCCGCATGTGAAGCACTCCATACCGAACCAATGAACCATTTGGCTGTCTCTTCCATCGCGTATTTCGTCTCGAGTAACCAGAGTATTGGAGAAGAAACACCTGCCAGAGAGTCCCTGGAATCCAGCTGACAAACATCCAGGAAGAGTCTTACAGATCTCGGCACACTCATCGTTGCTGTTGTACCAGTGCGTTTGAGTATCACCCACTTCCTCGCCGGGAAGGGTATAGATAGCATCACTATTCGTGAAAACTCCATTGAGATCGCAACCAAGGTCATCGAGATGAACGTAATAGTCGTTGATGATCTCGCATGTTTGCTTGCACACAGAGCCGGTGGTATGAGAAGGTTCTGCTGTAGTGACGGATTGAGATGTCGAGCCAACTTCCTCTGATGTTGGGCTAGTTGTTTCGGCCATGCTGGTCTCTCCAGCAGCTAGAGAGGTCGAAGATGCACTGATGACTGTAGTATAGGCGTTTCCTTCTGAAGTAGGCTCAGTGGAAGATGTTGTAGTCTCGCTACTCTCCGAAGCAGCACTGGAAGTTTCGGGAACAGAGCCAGTGGACTTTGATTCAGTGGAAGCCGAAGAATTGATCTCTGGAGAGGCTGTTGAGATAGGCGTCTCAGCACTCGTGCTTCCCAAGTCATCAGTGCTGGTTGATCCGCTGGGTCTTGTCGTCAGGGCAGGGGACTCTTGAGCCCTGGTCGCCGTCGTTGTCTCGACAGGATCAATTGGACGGCTCCCACCCAAGTCAAGCTTGAAGTTGTCAATAGTCTCTGGGGTTACTTGATCTGAGATGAAGATGGAGTCGACCAGAATTGAAGAGACGCCACCACCAGAGCATGTCAATGAGATAGCAAAGGTTGGTAAATCAGAAAGTGCCTCGACCTGCCTCAGTACCCGGGCCCACGATGGTCCTGAGCTGAAGGCAGGTTGAGAATAGAACTCTGAATTACCAAATGTCGCGCTTGCAACACAGCCTTGGCTTCCAGCTGACCTGATAAAATAAAAGAATTGGATAGTGTATTTCTTTCTCGGAACCGATCGTACGGTCTGGAAGATGCTAGCAAAAGAGCCAAAGAAGCTTCGCTTGGTGACGTCCCCATTAGCACTCAAAGCCGCGCAGCCGTCATCGAGGCTACCGTCAGCACGGTAGCATCCGCCTTGGTGAAACTCGGCATTACCTGAGGCACCAAAGTTGGTGAGGCCACTGGGGCTGTTGCGGTCGCGACTGGCGAAGGAGCCACCTGAAATAGCGTTGGTGATGATGATGTCTTCCTCTTGAGTGGTTGTTGATGACTGGGGATGGGTCGAGCTGGGTACTTCGGTGGTCGCAGTAGATGACGTGATGGTGAGACTGTTGAGGTTTGTATGGCTGTCCGTCGAAGTCTCAGAACCATCAATTGTCGCAACCGATGAGGTCGCAGACTGGCTGCTTACTGTGGCTCGGCTACTAGGCTTGCAAGGACCACCAACAGCAAAACCAATCAGGCCCAAGGTCACAAGAGCAATCTTGGACTGCATCATGAAAAGAAGCTATGGATCAGGTCCAAAGAAACAGTGAAGGGATGCAATTGTCTCGAAGAGAATTAAACTGCGGTATAACTATCTATACGTAGCCCCTGAAGCTGGGAAACGCTCGCGGACTCGCCAGACTCATTTCTCGGAACTATTCAGCACTTGGCGGTCAATAGCCATTTATTTTAACAGCATTTAGGTCGTTTAGCAGTCACTATTGCTAACTATTGACAGCCTCGGTGACTTCTACCCATGCAAGAACAGGTCTGGATCCTAGAGCACTAGCCGCCTTGGTCAATGGCTAAATCTTAATGCCAATCAAGATTGGACACCAGCTCCACTTACTATTTCTTTTCGCGTTAGTGGACGTGGCTTAAAGTGGCTTTAGATAAAACCTCGCATTCTCAGTTGCGACTAATAAAAGACTCTTGTCCGATGTCTTCAGCCATCTGACGTCCGTAGTCTTGCTCGTGCCTTGTTTGCGCGATGAACAGCAAGAAAGGTTCGTTTCGGCATCACTCTCTGTAAAGCTGTTGACGGTCTGACCCGAGGTCAATATATCGTAGTGCAAGAATACCAACTGCTCCAATTTACGACCATTACTGCCCAACTCGGTGAATTCGTTTTCGTCCTTATTAAAGATAAACTTGCGATAGATGAACTCATCGATTCAGGCAATCCTCTGGAGTCGTTCAATGGTTTCGCAGTTAGTTCTAGGCTGTATCCACGAAGGCAACATCAAGCTACCTTGTGGGAAACAATTAGACTAAGTTATTCATTAACAGGCATGATTTCTTGATATGGACATCGATAGTAAATAAAAGGTTCACTATCAGATCAGTGCATAAACATCGCTTCCTTTTAGCCGTAGACGCCGGGTATAATCTCAAGTGCAGCCATCGCTCAATCCCCTCGTTGCTCAACATTAAATATCTTGAGCATATCCTTCCGAAAAGCAGGCCAGTACTTCTCCTTGATCCACGCACCCAAACATTGCAATGACGTAAGCAACTTGTACAGGTCGAATGCATTATACGTGCTCCCAAGCGGCAACCGATGATACGTCGTCGACTTTCCGTCCTTCAGCGTCGATGCAACGAAGAACCAATCGTGATCCTGCACAATGATACCAGCCAGGAATTCAATCGCCTCAATGCTCCCCCGGAGGGACCGCCATTGCGCAGCATGCCAGGTACCGATCTGAAGAAGCGCCTTCTCCCAGCTGACCTGGCGCTTAGTCTCGATCGAGAGGGCGATAGGGTTCTTGCAGAGGTCGCCCCAATCTGTATGGTTGATTGAGAGGCCTGGCCGTGTCTTAATCTCATCATCAATCTTCTGACGCTCAATACTTTCCTTCGGAGTCTCGATGCAAATGCAAAAGTCGATGCATTTGGATGATGTGCCGAAGGGTTTGTACTCCGGTATGATGTGCGCAGTGGTGCAGTATCTGTAATCACCAACGGAAGCATCGTTTGCTTCTCGGAAAGCAAAGTCGAGAACGCATCGGTGAACCTCCATGTTCCAAGAAGCTTCGCTATGACGACCAAATTCGCATTTGGTAGCGCTCTGCAGAACCTGGCGGATGAACGACGGGGGAGGAGTTCGCCAATTGCTTGCATGCTTATCGGGATCGTAAAAAGCAAACTCGGGTATATTACGCAGGCTCTGCAGCTCGGGCTTCAATGTTCGAGGAAGAAGCCCAAATCCGTAACCAATAGTAAGAAGCTGCTGATGTAAATCTTGGAGAGAGGGCGGTAACTGATCCATAAAGTCATCGAATTTGAAGTCGTCGAACCCGGTCTTTTGCGTCGCAGCATAGCGCAGCTGTTTGGTTGGTGATGATGTGCCAGAGACTCCAGATGAAGTGTACGAGGTTGAAGATTCGCGGTCCAGACTCGAAGCGCCCTGCCTTAGCCCTCTTGATGATGCTCTGGGGGTATCCTCGACACCGCCATCTTCGTCCGAGTGAACAAGACCTTGATCGTGGGTCGACCTTCTGCGCTTTCTTGGCATTGGATGAAGCCCCTGTGCATTTGCCTCGATGTCGAAGCAGCTGTCTTGAGATGATCCTGGAGGCGTCGGGATGCGATAAAATTGACTGTCGCGGTCTGATTTGGTGTTTATTATTTTACGTCGCTTGCGTTGGTGTTCTGACTCTTCGGTCGGAAAGGATTCTTGTTCGATTGAATTGAGCCACGACCATACACGACCGTGTTTGTGAGCGCGAGTGTTTGGGACCCCGAGGCTGGTCATTTCTTAATTGCGCATGCTGATTGAAGTGATGATGTATGATTGATGGTCAAAACAATTCTGAGGAGGCCTAACTCATTCGGTCATCATGGCGGGGCTACGTTGTTGGAGGGGTAACGTCGCGAGATGGCGAGATTGGTTTAGCGTCCCATCAGCCCTTATCTGAGATACATGATTAGCGCTGATAGTTAGCGCATATTACAGGTATCTACGATAAGTAACGTTGCTCACCTGGACTGCGCCTGATTATCCCAAATTGACTTGAAAATTGTTGGGCTTAGGTGAATCTGTCAGCTTTGACAGAGGAATTACAGGCTGTTAGTTTGATCTCTTGTAGCAAGTCTGGCTTCGGTATGGAGATGTTTCATCCTGATTACATTATCTGGAGCTACATGGCAATTGTCCCGTACTGCACAACGATATCATCTATTAAACCGGACACTCTAGGTTAGGCTTCAATTGATGTGAGCTAGAGCAGGTCAGTCAGTCACGCGGGGGTACGGGTCAACAAGGTCAAAGTGGAAGGCATAAACAGAAAAGTTGTAAGATCTAAGTAGGTCTATGGAATCCAGGTAGAATTTATCCGTAAGATGCAATCATTCACCCAGGTCGCTGTCTGCCCTCCCTAACAGGCTTGTTTGTCCTCATCTTGTTGTTTGTTCTGGTAATTGACAATCACGTGGCCTGTTTGCGTCCCAGTCTCACAATCGACAAGGCCATTGCCTGTAAGCAAGTTAATTAAATCACAGAACAGGTCCAAGAACCCGATGTTAACATATTACTTAAGACTATCCCAACTTTGACCTATATAGGACACCAATAGCCATATAAGGGCTTTCTAAACCAGGACTAATTATCCGGTTCTGTCCAAACACAGAAGACAATGCCCAGATCCGTTGTGACATGGCGGCTTCATAAAATTAAGTAAGATAAAACATCCAGCACATAAAAATTAGTCCATTTCACAATAGAAAAAGATCACATAAGCTCGAATCGACATGTAACGTCTTACTACGGAGAGTTGCTGGGATATATAGACTATGCACTCGGGCTTGCCAAAGTCGATCCAACTTTCCAATAACCTGCCAACACCAACCCTTCGGTAGGAACTAGTGCTGAGATCATCAGAGGGCGCAACGAGTAGAGTATAATACTCTAGGTCCTGTGTCGTGAATCTTTCATCCTTTGACTTTTCGCTTCCGACAATAACGCATAGCTTACGTACACCTGGCGGCGACGTTCCTTCGTCATAGGTGACCTTTCCTTGCGCCTCGGCTAATTCCAGGAGAATAAATACCTAAAGTAAAAAAAAGAGAGAATGCCTGCAGCGTGATATTTTAAGTGGCTGCTACAACCAGTATAAGGGCAATAGCTAATTCCGCACGCGGAACTATGCGTCTCGGTCTTGGAGTTTGCTCTAGCCTTTCTAAATAAGGTATAGATAGACAAGCAAGGCAGACTCGACTTTTCAGCTCTCGCTTAATTAAACTGGAAATAGCCTAGTACGTTAACTACTTCGATTTTAGAAGTTCGCGCCGTGTTCGCCTTCCAGGTAGCTGCATAAAGTAAGAGGTATATATAATTAAAAGTTATTCTTATCTGGTGAAAGAAAAAGCACGGTTATTCTGATCCTTTAACTTCGCTCTTTTCTATTTATTCGTCTTCTATGCCATCCTCTATCCTATCACGCACAGAAAAACCTATGCACATCATGGCTTTTGAGGCTGGTACTAAGCTCCCTGTCTCGCTGGCAGGGTTACCTCGATACATCGCTGAGCATCCTGAGGTGCCTATAGTTGATATCTTGGATCCTTATCGCAAATATGAAGCCTACCTGCGAACGGTATATGCTCAAGATCGCCAAAATCCCTTACTTGACGATCCCTACCTTAATGTTATCCCTCTGTTCACTGGGGACACTAGATATATCGTTACGCGAGCAAGAAATCTTATTACTGAGTCTGAGGAGGAAAAGTCCAAGTACATAATGCCTCTGCCAGATGATAAACGTCGACCCAACAACTCCCCTGCGATAGTAACCAACCTGGAGGTGTTTTCTAAAAACTTTAACATCTTCTCCGAGTTCTCTCTTATAGGTATCGACTGGAATAATATTGTTGCAGCCGGTTCTTCCATTGTTAACACGCTTGTTCCTGTCCCGAAAGAGTATGAGGGCACCAACCACAAGCTCCGAGAGTACTACCATGAGAAGGTCCGAAATGCTAGGTTCGACTCACATTGCCACGTGCCTGCTGTTAACCATTTCTGCAGTTCTGCCCAGCTTCCGATGTCGATCTTTTCTTGTACGATCTGACACATGACGAGGCGATTGAGAAGATCAAGAGTATCGAACGCGCTGTAAAAGATGCCGTGCACTCAGATGTGACGGTTGTTAGGACTAAGTACGCGCTTACAATCGCGAGCCAGTATCCAGTTCGACATATCCAGGTAAGCACCCCAAGTACCACATTAGTATGCGGCTGGCTCTGATTAAATTGGAGATTGTCCTACGAATCTACAAGTCTGTTAGTGAGATCCTCACTGGATTTGACATCGATGCCGCGGGTGCGGCCTACGATGGCAAGCAGGTCTACGCTACGCCTCGTGCACTCAGCAGTTTCATTACACAGGTCAACCACATTGATCTCACACGGCGCTCTCCATCTTATGAAAACCGTCTCTCGAAGTACTCACACCGTAACTTCGAGGTTTATTGGCCCGAACTCGACCGATCCCGGGTTGACGCAGCCATTTACGAAAGGAGACTCGAGCGCACATTCGGCCTGGCTAGGCTGCTGATCATGGAGAGGCTGCCTACGGGGCCTGCGAGAGATGAATACCTTAATAAGCTTCGCGAGGCACGAGGGAAACATAAGGTCTCTCGTCAGCGCAAAGGCCTGCGTGGAAACATCAAAGAGGACTACGACGATGAAGTAGCAGACTGGCGTTTTGAAGAAGACATTAGCGACTACCACACATTCTCCATGCCGTACGGCCGAAAGTTCGACGCTAAACGCATTGAAAAATTGGCATATAGCCAGGATCTGCTCCTTAACGCAGAGTGGAACCAACCTCGAGATCGAACAGTATCGCTTCACCGGCATCCTGTGTTCTTCGGACGTGTTGAGGATGTTGTCGAAGACTGTTGTGGGTTATGCCCAGTTCCCCAAACCGATGAGGAAAAAGAAGTCGCCGAGAAGGAGGCTGAGATTTATATCTCAGGTAAGCTTACTTTTATAACTGAAGATCCTGGTAGACAGCAGATTGGCTCGTTCAACCCTCTTACAGAGCATGATTGGACTGATATGGCTTATACTGGTAACTCTGCACGCCTTTTCCAGTCTATCATCGATGGGAACGTAGATGATGTTCGTGATTTACTTTTGCAAGAGGGGCCTGAGCTAAACAAGCGTGACCACACCGGAAGGGCCCCCCTGCATCTCGCTGTGATGGCTTCTACACCCGAAGTTGTTGAAGTTCTACTTAATCATGGGGCTCGCTTGACTAGCAGGCTAGTGAATGGCGAAACAGCACTGCATCTAGCTGCTTCTCGTGGCGACATAGCCATCATAAGGCTTTTGATGGAGAAGAGTATCAAGAATGAGCAGGCTCGACAAGAGAGCGAGGCTGAGGTACATGAACACGATTCCAACTTGGAAGATCGCGAAAGCGATTCAGAGGATGAGGCATCCATTGGCGACAATGGAACGGAGTGGTCTTCGGACGATTCTGAATCGTCGGCCAGTTCTGAAGACGATGTAGACTACTTCCAGATCGATGTCACGGCCGGGGATGTACCATGTGCACCACTGCACTTGGCGATTGCGAACGGGCACAACAATGCTGTGAAGCTTCTCTGTGATGTAAGAGTTTTTTCACGTTGATTGCAACCAAGTCGTTCGAAATGCCTCGCTGACTTATCTCCGTATGTACCAGTACGGAGCCAACTTAACCCTCCCTCTAGAGATAGCCGACCAGAAACCCAACAGCACCGTTGAATCTTTAAGTACCTTTGCTATCTATCCCCTTGCTCTTGCGCTTACCCTACCGCGAGATCGGGTCAAACCTATGGTCCAACTGCTATTTAAGCTTGGCGCAACTGCATCCCAAGCAGACCCCCGAGGCTTGACAGTCTTTCAACGATTTGCTGAGCATGCTGAAGCTGACGTGATGCATGCTCTTATCAGTGAGGATACAGGCGGAGTGAAGAATTCTATCAGCCACATCGTGGTTCAAGGCTGGTCATCGAACCCACAGACCATCTTCCCACTTCATAGCGCTACCGAACGTGGTGATGTGGCTCTAGTGCTGCAGCTCCTGGCAAACGGTGCCGAACCTCACATTGAATTAGCGGCATGGATCAAGGCCGCCAAGGCTTCCCTAACAAGGGATATACTTGGAAGTCCGGAGTATAACAAAAATATATACCAGAAGTCAGCTGAGCAGCCGATTATAGCGGCGTTGCGGGCTGGCATCCCTGAGGTTGTGCTTGAGCTACTTAAACGAGGTGCAGATCCTAATGTGATGAGTCACTCTACTGCCGCGTCGATGATAATCGAGTACCGACGTCGATTCAATAAAGGCAGGCTAGCTCTCGACATCGTCCGAGGAATGCTCTCAAGGCTCGAGACGCTAAGGGAGGTCAAGGCCAAGGTCAAGCCGGAGCCCAAGCTACAGCCCGGCATGGATAGTTTCCTCGCCAAGTTCTCAGAAGGCACGTATCAACACTGGCTGGTTGCCGGGGATATTGAGGGCAAGAGAGAAGTACTCGAACAGCGACTGAAGGCTTACCGTGAGTCCAACGCTGAGGACAGGAAGGTGGCTGGTGAATACGAGGAGGTGATTAATGAGCTTGTCGCGAAGCTCCGTGCAGTGGAGGAGGCCCTTCTTTCACAAGGGGCTAGAACGTACGAGGAGCTCTATCCCGATATCAAGACTGGCGACGACAATCTCTACAAGCGAAACAGCAACGCTGACGAGGAAGATGTCACATCTTACAAGCACACCTTCACCTTCATTGGTGAAGATGAGATTGTGGAGAGGGGGCAGGAGGGCTACATCAAGCTGTAAGTGATTTACTCTACCAAATCGTTAAAACAAGTTGGCGGAGGATTGACCTTGATCGCCCTTAGATTCGAGGCAGCTTGGGCTGGAGACCTTGACTGCATCAAGGCCCTGTCAACACAGGCATGGGGGCCTCAGCAAGACCAACCGCCGTTGATCATCACCATGAAAGACAAAGCCCACAACACCCCATTCTCTCTCGCCTTTTTGCGCGGACACTATGCGGTCGCGCGCGCCATCCTCGAGATCGCAAAGGCTCAGTGGGCTCCAATGAAAGTGGACCAAGTGCACAGGGACCTTTCGTACTACCTCCAAAGAGAGGAACGCAGAAAGGGACCCAACACGAGCCAATCTGAGGGTGATGATGATAATGGTGATGATGATGACGAATATAATGATCAATTCTCGGAGCTGGAGCTACAAGTTACGATGCAGGCGAAGTCCCACAAGACGCCCCTCGGCTACCTTCTAGAGCGCATCTCGACCTTTAAGTTGCAGAGCACCACCAGCGTCTTAGATCTCGGTGTCCATGATCTGTTTGAGCACTGCATGGCGCAAGATGACGCCGCTGGCCTAAAGCTACTCCTTGAATTTGCTGGTACTTACTTAGGCAAAACCCTGAACAGAGAGGAGTTAAGGGAACGCCTTGTAGCTCTACTCTTGACTGCCTTGAAGTCATTCCCGTCTGCGAGAACAAAAAAAAAAGTCCTAGCGGCGATGAGACTCAACAAGCGGAAGTTGATCTCCAAGATTTTCATGGACGAAGAGTATTATAACCGCGAGAATGAGTTCACTTTCCCTATAGAAGCTTTCATGACCGCCATCAGACTCAACAAAACTCAGATGCTCTCTCTGGTCGTCAAGCAGGCGGGAGTTGGCATTCCTCTGGACCACCTTCTTAAGGTTTCTGTAGGCGGAGTTCCTACAGGTGGGTACAATGAAAACGCCGTGCGCATCTTCGACATGACTTACCAAGGTCTGACTGTTTACGGTAAGAAGAGGTGAGTTTGGCTATAGTTTCCTCAGCTACCCGGAAAGACTGTTATCCTGACTCGAAACAGGAAGGACTGGGCAGCCGCTGGTAGAGGCATGGTCGTCCACCCTACTGGTATTAAGGCGGCTCCTCTTCTTCATGCTGCACTCTTTGGAGCTCTGGAATCTGTCGAGTATTTTCTGAGTGACGCACCATACCGTCACTATAGCGAGTTCGGTAAATCAATGGTCGCCCGTGAGGATCCTCGTATGCAACACTTCGTAGACGACCCTACTGGCTTCGAAAGAGCCATCTCTACGTGGCTAAGCACAGACAGTAATTTTCTTCCTGGGTGGCTGCAGAGTGATTTTGAGGAATTCTTGTAACTGACCTTTTCCTAGATGACCTTGTCATTCACTGCGCGGTGATGGCAGAACCCAACCAGGAGGCCAAGGAGCTCTTACAGTACCTTGTCAAGGCATGCCCTAGCAGCCTGGAGAGGCGAGATTCCGACGGAAACACGCCACTATTGAATGCTTGTATTCTTGGGAGGAGACAGGCGGTCGAGACTCTTATCGGTGCTAATGCTGACCAAGCCACGAAGAACTACAAGGGAGAAAACGTGTTGCACGCCCTCCTCCGCTACAAGAGCGACCCTTCTCGCTTAGAGGCTATTTTGAAGTTGTTTGACCAGGATCTCCTCAGGAATCACATCAGTCAGCAACACCAGAGCCTTCAAGGAAAGGCAAACACTCCACTTCATTCTTGGATCTCTAAGATGGCCAACGATGGCAGTTCCAACTCACTCTCCGCTTCCGAGCAGAAGGAGATGCTTACTCTTCTACTCAGGTACACTTCCGGAAAGGAGCTTGAACTACTGAACTGCGAGGGTAACACGCCGCTACATACTGCTGTTCAGAAGGAAAATATAACGATTACAGGCGTCCTTGTGAGACATAAGCCAGCCCTTCTCTTCCAGGAGAACGTAGCCGGTCGCACAGTTTTTGATATTGCGAAAGCTCAAGTCAATCGGAGACAGTTCAGGCAACCTTACGCTGACCGCGAGAATTGGGAGCAGGACTTGTCCGCCGATTCCCTCCTTGATAAGCTTCACGATAAACAGAAGAAGAAGGCAAGGTCTGCCGAAGTGTTTAGTGCTAAGCGCAGGGATGAGATTACTGCTGAGTGTGGTCTCAGCCGTGAGTACTGTCCCGACGAACTTTACGATATTGTTGGGTCACTTGGGTATGCTTTGGGTCGTTCTGAACCTAAGTCTGAGAAATACAACATGCCTGAGGGAATGGCTGCGGCTGTAATTCTGGACCTCTGCACCACTGCGATCAAGCAATATCCCGCCAAACGCCGCCTGGTCAGCGTTAACGAGGCAAATGATGTTTTACAGCGGCTTTTGGGTGACCACTTCCTGAGTTGTGGAGAGAATGAGGATGGTCATGGCGATGAGAAAAAGCAGAGTGAGGTTGAGGGTGAAAATGGGGCGGGGAAGGACAACGAAGAGGTTGACTTCGTTGTCGAGAGGATGCGGAACAGTAATTGCGGGAGGTGGAAATGCTAAAAGGGGTTTGGTTTAGGTTTGGGTTTTACTTAATAAAAGCGCTAGAATATTACTATAGGTTTATATAGATTTTATTAGTTAATTTATTATATATTATAGTAATAGCTAATTTTTTTATTATTATATTTAATAAAAAATTATTATATATTATTACTTTTTTAATAAGTAAAATATAAAAACTTTAATTAAAACTTATTAATTTTATTAATATTAAATTTATTTAAAATAAATAGCTTTTTAAAAGATAATATTTCTATTAATTATAAGAATAATTAAAATTAATAATTAAAGTACTTTATAATAATATAATATATTTAATATTATAATATTTAATTAAATAAAGTTAAATATAATAATATATTAGAGAATTTAATTAGCTATTTAATAAAATAAATATATTAATAATAGTTTAATATATTATTATATAATTACTGTTAAATAGCCTATTTCTATATGGTATAAATATAACTTTTTTTATATTATTAAATAAAAAAAGCTTTTTTAAATATTTTTAAAGATTAAAGTTAAAATAAAGTTAATATTTATTATTTAAGCTATTTTTACCTTTAAGGTTTTTTTTAATTAAAATCTACCTATAATAAATATAATAAATTATAATAAAGTTTATAAAAAAATCTATATAAAATAAAAAGGCATTATTAATAATATAGGGTAGAGTTTATAAAAAATATAAAAAGTAAAATTTATAGATATTATAATATATAAAATAAATAAAATTAGTATTAATTAAAAGGTAAGTTTTAAGAGAGTATTTTTCTAAAGTATAAATTAATTTAAACCTAAATTGCAGTTAAGTAATATATTTAAAGTTTAGCTGTTTTTTTTATATAATTAAAAGTAATTAAAAGGTAAGTATTATAATTAATAAAATTTAATAAATTATAGTTATTTAATATAAAAGGTATAAAAGTTAAGTTATTAAATAAAAATAATAGTTATATTTAAGGTTTAAAGGCATTAAGTAATAAAGAAAAGTAAATTAAAATAAATAATTTTATAATATATAGTATTATAATAAAAAGAAGCTATTAAATTTTATAATTTATATTATAATTAAAACTATTTAAAATATAAAACTAAAAGATAATACTAGCCTTAAATAAAGCTATTTATTTATTTACTTAAATTTCTTATTATTATTTATAAAAGTTATTAATTTATATATATAGCTAAAGAGGCAAATAGCTATTTAAGGATATAATTATTATAACCCTTATAGTTATATTATATATACCCTATAAATTCTTTATAAACCTTATTAATTATAACTAAATTAGTTATATATATAAAGACAGAGTTAGCAGAATTGTAAATATCTTTATTAAATTTAAGTGCTAATTAAAAAATAATAATTAAAATCTACTAAAAATTAATATTAATAGATAAATAAATAAAAAGTAAAGAGAAGTTATTATAGTGGGTTAGTAATAGCTAGGTAGGTATAATAGTATTATATTAACTAAAGCTTAAAAAGATAGGATTTCTTAAAGAGGGGTTTTTATAATAGACTTAAGGGGATCTTAAGGGTATATAGTAAAAGACTAATTAGCCTTATTATTAAGATATTATTATAATTATCCTTCTCTTTTTATTTAGCTATTTTTAGCTAAAATAGTAATAGAATTAAATTATATAATTATTAATAAACTTTTATTATTATATATTTACTTATAGTAATTAATTCCCTATATAGATCTACATAAAGGTAGTAATATATATCTTAACTATTTTATATATAAAACCTACTATAAGTCTATAAGTAGCCTTATTATAATATCTTATAGCCTTATATAATTTATACCCTTTAACTTATAGTTAACTTCTTAATTCTTTAGGCTTCTATAAGGCTTTTAATTTCTTTTTAGCTATAGGTATTTAATTATCCCTCTTTTTTATTTTATTTTATTTTATTTTATATAACCTTTTTAACTTATATACTTTTCTTTCTATTTATATCCTTACCTTTTAGCCTTTTACTCTTTACTCTTTTAATAAATCTCTTTTAATTCCTTTATAATAGCTAATAAAGAACTTATTTCTATCTTTAAAATGCCTAATAAAACTAAAGAATTTAAGGCAGTTATACCCCTTAAGCCCTTTAATTATATTATAGACTATTAGATTTATATATATTATATCTATATTTATTAAGATAACCTTTAGATATTATTAATTAATAAGGATTTTAATAACCTTTTTTATTTCTTTTAATTTAATTATTATACCTTTAATAACCTTAATTTCTTTTATTATATTAAATATAATTACAGTAAGGGGCATTATAAACTATATATCTCTTTTATAATTTTTCTTTATATTTTACTATTAACTTAATAATAGTCTTTTTACTATAATAAAGAGTAACTTTAAGGATATAATAAAGGCCTTAAAGTTTATAACTACTTTAATTACTACTTATATTATTAATTAGCTATAATATCTCTTTATTTATATTTATTATAAGCTTAATTATACCTTTTTTTAGCTTTTAATTTCCTTTTATTACTTAAAAGAGACCTATATATTTACCTTTAGGTTTAAAAGTATTAATACCTTTATAGTAAGTTTTATATTTTATTTTAATATTACTGCCTTTTTATTAATACTTCTTAATATAAAAGGCTAAATCTCTATATATTATTAATATAGTTTACTATTATATTTAATAAGTATACCTTTATAATATCTTTTTAATTTTTACTATAAGTCTTAATACTTTATTTATATTATTTCTTATTAATATCTTTAATTTTTTAAGATTTAGGCTATATATAAGATTAATTAGACTTATTAGCTAAAAGAAGTAAATTTTAATTTTATAGCCTAAAGGGTTATAAACTTAATATTTAATTAATAACTCTAAAAGATATTAAAAAGTAATCTTTATAATATTATAATATATTTTAAGACTTTTTTTTTATTTAATTTTTATTTAAGTAATAATCCTTTTAAAGGTTTTATTTTTACTATAGCCTTAACTTTTATTTTAATCTTACTTTTTATATTTACTTTAATTAATTTATTTAATTATCTTTTATTTAATTAATTCTTTTCTCTTTTAGGTTTAAATGCCTAATAGTTTTAACTTAAATTATTATTTAATTTTTTTAATAATATAGCCTTTATTTTTTTTTAGGGTTAGGGTTAGGATAGGGTTAGTATTAACTATTTAAGCTATCTTTGCCTTTTAGGTTTTTTCTAGCTAAATCTAGCTAATAAGTAAGAGAGGAGATTTTTTTAAAAAAGAGATATAAAGAGGTAAAGAAAAAAAAATAAAAGAAAAAGCTAAAGTAAGGAATATAGCTAAATAGCTAAAAAGAGATATAAAATAGCTAAAAAGAGATATAGCTARAAAGCTAAWAAGAAATATAGCTATAAAAGCTAGAAAGAAATATAGCTAAAAAGCTAAAAAAGAGATATAGCTAAAAAGCTAAAAAAGAGAATATAGCTAGAAAAGCTAAGTAAAAAGAGGTATAGGGCTAAAGTGGCCTATAAGGGGCCTAAAAAGACTTCCTAGAGGTATTCTAGACTGACCTAGCTAGGCCTATAGGGATCTCTTTAGCTATAGAAGCTGTTAAGAAGGCCCTAGTCTTAATTAAGGTTAGGCCTATAGTGACATTTAGCTAGGCAGCTATTAGGGGGCCTATAAGCTACTAAAGCTTCTTATAGGTCTTAGCGGTCTTTAAGTCTATAAGGCTATTTATAAAGATAATAATAGGTTAAAAAAAGGCTCCTAAAGACTTATATTTCCGGCATTTTTCCTCTACAGCCTCTATAAAGGTACTATAAGGGTCCTCTCTAGCTAAATCCTTAGAAATAGTAATAATTTAGATATAATAGAAATACCGGCTTATTCTTAAGGTTATAGCTAGATTAGCCTTAAGGCTAGTCTCTTTATTTACTAGAGGCTCTTTTTCTACCTTTAGGAAAGGCTAGCTGCTAAGGGCTCTATAAAAGGCCCCTATAATTTTATTATACCTTATAATCTACCTTCTACTAGCACCCTTATAGGTATCTTTATAGCTTAAGGCTGCTATAACTCTATAGGAGCTATAAGGTAAGCTAGAAGGCTTAATAGAGTAAAAAAGCCTGCTTTTAAGGGCTTTAGTAATCTTAAAGTCTATAAAAGATAGGTCTTTTTTAGTAGGCAGGATTTTAAGCTACTTATAGCCTAAATAGCTACTATTTTCTAGCCTAGCTTACTTATAGCTAGTAGGTAGGTCCTAAAGGAAGCTYTATAACCTAGCCTTATTAGCCTTTTTTAGTACCTTTTATACTGTTTTTTCTAGCTTAAGGCCGGTATCTATAGGGGGCTTTTTTCTAATTTTTTCTAGGGTAGGTTTAAAGGCTTCCTTAGCTGCCTAATATAGCTATACTGCTAGCTCCTTATATAAGGGGATTCCTAGACCTCCCTTCCTAACTAGAAGGGCTATTAGGTCTAGGCTAGGCTCCTTAAGGCAGTTATTAGGGCCTTTAGCTAATAAGGCTATAATAGCCTTTCTAATTAGGTTATTAACCTCTTCCTAAAGGTCTTTAAGGCCTATAGGGTCTAGTTRCCTCTATAAGTGCCTTAAGAAGAGCTATATACTTCCCTTAAGTAGAAGTAGGGCATGCTATTTAGGTAGGTCTTAAAGGGTAGTTAGGGCCTCTTTTAGGGTCCTGATTTTCCCTTTTAGGAAGGCTCTCTTAGGTGCTATAGGCCCTATAAAGGAGCCTAAAGCCTTAATTCCTTTTTCTTTTAGGTCCCTTATAGCTATTTCCTTACTTTTAGCTAGGTTAAGCTAAAAGGGAGACCTTAAGAAGACCTTCCTAGCTATCTCTAAGGTGCTATTAGGGGCTAGGTTAAGGATATAGAGGTTATCTAGATAGGCCATTAAGGCTATATTAGGCAGCTTGGCCGCTAAGGTCTTTTAGATCAGTTGTGCAAATAGGGACAGGGTTGGCGGGATGGTGAATGTCTTTGTCAAATTCGAGCGCCG